TTTTTGGACGATATATCGATAGTTCGATATTGGAATATAGACATGAACTAATGAGTTCAATCATAGAGCAACACACGAAGGAAAAAGCCACCATAGCGTTATTTTCCGATACCAAAGTGTCTGTCATTTTTTACTGGTGGAAATCTGCGCCACGCACACTTTCTCAGACTCCCACACAAAAATAATCGTCTATCACTACGAAATTCACACATAACAATTAAAATAATACATTAACAATTTTACACAGACATAAATATATTCTGTGTCATAATAGTGTAATGAAGTGACGCAACTACATTGACAAGTTGCATACAGCCATGGATGTAACGTCTGTGGATATACATTACCGATGAAAAGGTGGATATTATAATAAATATTTTTTGTGACTACTATAATTACCTATGATTTAACTGATAAACTTAAAGGTGATATACTTTTTTACGTGGTAGAGCCATGCTGCAACTATATTAGTAATATAACTGTAGCACGAATGGGTCGGCTCGACCGGGGAAGGACCACGCTCTCACAGAATACCAGCGTAAAATAGCAGCTTAACGCTGCTGTGTTTCGTGTGATGAGTGTAAAGAACCGGAGACCCTTTTTACTGGAAACGAGGCATTCCATCTTAGTCCTCACGGGTGGCAACGTATCTGCATTTTGATTCGTAATCGAGGATAGATGTAGATGTCTATGGACCACAGCAACCACTTACCATCAGGTGGACTGTGTGATCGTTTGTCACCCTTATCCTATAAAATAAAAGGTTATATAATTTTAAAAACCAATGATAGCTTTATCTAGGTAGGTTTATAAAATGGGTTAGTTTTGTATATTATATATCTCAAAAATTGTAATGAAATACACTATCACGTACACTGTATCAAATAGAAAATTTAATATTAAGCCCTGGATAACACCACGTCTACTTTGTGCATTAGATTCAGGAATAAAATTCATATTAAAAGAAAAAAATATCCAAATGATAATATATTACGTGTATCTTATACCCGATACCGTAATTACTGCAATAAGTTTTAAAGAAATTGAAAAAAGAGTATGAGAAAGAATAAATAGCAAAAAATACAAAAAATGAAAGCCGATATGTCGATATATCGCTATTTTATAGATATATAAAACTACAATATTGATATATTTATAACTATCGATATATCGAAAATCAGTGTGTGTTACATTTCTTTAACTCGTAGGGCATCGGACATGCATTTATTTCATATGCAGGGGTGTCTAGTTTTTCTGGCAGATTATCTTGTTATATAATGTCTTATTTTAGCTGGTGGTTGGAAAAATCACCAGCAGAAAACTTTGCATCTGAGAAGTGGCCTAGCTTCGGCGACGGGGGCCGCTAGAGCCAAAAATTAACTCACCCGCCCTCCCGAACGCATACCCACCTTCTCGTGATAATGGGCTTAGTAACCATGTTACGGTCACCCATGGTAAACGTATACGCAGCCACATGGCTGGCCGCACCGTTGATGAGATGGTGATGGGGCTGCGTGGGGAGAAGAGGTCGGTATTGCGTTATGCCGCTCTCCCTACCTTCCGTGACCGAAACTTTTTGGCAATCGGAGGAAGGCGCTTTGTATTCCTGGTGCGCCTTACCGGAGAAGGAAAAGGCGGAGGAGAAGTCCTCCCCCAAGGAAAAGCTGCCATCGAGAGGCCGACGCCGGTGAAGTCGCGGATGAGTGCGAAACGTTTCCGTAGCCCTGCCAATAAACGGCCATGGGGGTTTAGTAGGCTTAGTCCGACATAACGCGTCCTTGCCACGCGAGGCGGGTGTGCGTAGGCATTTTCCTCAAGTAAAAAAAAAGAAGAAATGCCAAACCTTACTCCTCCCCCCCCCCCCACCCCCCACCCATTTTCGCAAATATGTTAAAAATATAAAATTGGTTAGTCTTACGAACTTTTTATGTTTGTACTGTAACCAATTTTGTAAACAATTTTGTAAGTACTGTAGGTACTACGGTATAAAATGACATATTATGTAGACTGGTAAGTAATTTGTTTCTTTTATGCTTACCTACCTACAAACATTATAAACGAAACGACCAAACTTACAATTTGGATGTTACTTTATATTGCAAAGAATAAAAAACATTTTATCATTTTTTTGCTTGAATTTAGATCAAAGTCCCAATATACTCGTATATTTCCACGAGCATATTCTAAATAAAATGAATTTCATCCATGACTGCTTATTTAAATTGATACTTTATCGCTGACAAGTCAGTCAGTTGGTGCTGTCAGCCGGTTTACAAACAATCAGCCGTTTTAAATTAGATTTTATACAAAATCTATTTGAAAGCGACTGGTAAGTAAACATTTAAGAAAATAAACATATTTAATGAGATTCTACGAAGAATTTTAGTTACGGCTATAATAGAACTTGGTTTATAAAAAATATTAAATTATACCTTCTCTGTTTGAGCCAGCGAGCCCACCAGCAGCACGCCTACCCCCTCCTTGAGAGTGGTCAAACCCGCCCCCTCCTCTTCACCTTCTCAGGTAAGTTACGCACCCCCATACATCTTCCAACTCCACCTTCGCAACGTCCTACCCTGAGTCCGTTGCGCAGAGGTCTTAAAAATATATGGGACCAGGAAAAAGGGGCACTCGGAATTACTAGCCAGCGGGGGTCTAAGGCTCCGCCTCCGAAGATACAGGGAGCCGCGCAACATAATACCGACACTTCCTTTACTCCACGGTTCCATCACCACCGTATCAACAATCTTCGAACGATATCTTTGTGCTGCTTATACTGCTTCCTATCGCCGGTAACGGATCTTCATCATCATCGTCATTGTAAGTATGTTGCATCACTATTAAAGACGGACTTCTACCAAGGCACACCACTTGACCGATCTGATGCTTCACTCATCGGCTTCTTTCTAGATGTTTTCATACCATATTACGCTTATTTAGTATTCAGTCAAGACAAACGTCTTAAAAACTTTAAACCTTTAACCCCACGTTTAGGTACATGCGGCGTGCCTCCAGCGCCAGCGGTGAGTTGGTATAGATTCGAACAGTGTTGGGAAAAATTGCTATCGTTTTAGTGAATTAAATAAAACTCAAACATTTATTGCTAAACCATAATATACACAAGATGCTTTTAAATAATGTGAGGCCAGTGTTACGGATCCTGTTGGGCACGTAATTTAGGGGCGAGGAAGCGTATTTAACTATTACTCATATGAATGTAATAAAATTCAATTTAAATGAGTAATCATTTTGTAAAACCTATATATGTATTATTTATAAAATATTCATTAGTACTATACTTAGTAGTAACATATATTATTTAGGTACTGTTTTAATTTTCATCTATACAAATAAATAAAATTGAAGTGTCTGTTTGTAATGTCGAAATAACAGCTTTTTACTATATGCATATGAAAGTATATACGATACTTATAACAAAAACACATTTTTTTTAATTTTTGTCTGTCTGTCTGTCTGTTTGTTCCGGCTAATCTCCGAAACGGCTGGACCGATTTTGATCGGACTTTCACTGGTAGATAGCTGATGTTATAAGAAGTACTTTTATTTAAGAAAAAGAATTAGGGTTCCGCGCAAAAAATTAAAACCCATGAAATCCAATCGTAATAAATTACGCGCGGGCGAAGTCGCGGGGAACAGCTAGTTTTTTAATATGTCAGGTAGTTTATTATATAATTTTATGGAGGAACTTAATGTACTAGACGTGTTTAGTTTTAGTCGGGTTTTAAAGTTGGCAATACTAATTTATTTTCGTGTGGTAACGCGTATTTGCATGGTAAATCTTCACGTTTTGTATAAAATTGCTCATTTCTTCGAACAAATTTACCTACACATCTCCAATATAAGCCGGGTAAGGTTAATATTTTATTTTTAAGAAAGAACGATCTGCAGCTATTAGTCTGGTATATATTTGCTATAATCCAACATAATAAAACATTCAAAATGTAGGTATTTAACGTTTTATTCGTGAAAAACCTAACTGATACTTTAACTCATAGGTATATCAATACTCTATTGAATCCACACTTTGGCGCCAATTCAACAAATAATTAGAACATGCCCAGTATTACAACGTAAGGAAAATAATATATAGTGCACTGTTATATCCCTTTTTACAACGCAGTTAAATCTTAGTAAGCATTTATTCAATCCCACGGTACTTTTCCTATATATGACGTCAATCAGTAATTGTATTGTTCTTTTCCATATTAATTTCATTCCATTTTACAGTCAGTTAGATTCAGAGCCCCGGGTAGATCGGACATAGATTCCGATACGTATTAGAGTTCGGAAGTCAGGGTTAATATTAATTGTGTGTGTAAACTTTTTATAATAAACCCTTAGGTTTACTTTGTGGTTTTTTTTTTAAAAGTCAAACGGGATCGGCCTCCTAACAAATTGGTGTCAGAAGTGGGATGCCAAACAGAAAGTCATTGAAGACATTGGCATCCGAATCCGAGGTCCCCGAAATCATCAAGGTCGACATTAAGCCTTAGCCGTGCCTAAGCCTGCACCTACCACAATTTTGGACGACGATCAGCCTCCGCTCTGAAGCGTGAGCCCGCTCCACTTACACCTGGTCCTGAAATCTCCCGTCTGGCCGACGATAAGTCTCCACCAGGAGCCCGCACCAGCTGGATCTAACTCACCAACAAAAATTATTTCAAGAACTTTCTACGCCTTCCGGTCCTGCTATTTCCCACGACGTGACGGAGTCACCGCGTCAGCGATCTCGCCTGCCAGCCGCCACGAGTGTAACGTTTCACCTAGCTATTGTTACGACGCTTAAATGCTACGTGTAGAAATTATTACCATTCTGTAAGTCATTTTGTATTCTGTTTAAATTTAAAATTTACTTTTATTTTACACTGTTTCTGTACTATTACCAATCTTTTACGTTGTTTTATTGTGATTATTTTATATAAGTTTAATATTTAAAATTTAATTCTATGTCGCTTAAAGCAGAAAAAGGTAAAGAAAATATGTCGGAAAGAATGACGCTTTCATTCTTGACGAAATTTATAAAATCCTATAATGGGGAGAAAGATTCCCTACCCGCTTTTCTTACAAACTGCGACAATGCAATGTCGTTAGCTACACCAGAACAACAGCCTATTCTGTGCAAATTCATCATCTCACAACTAGAGGGAAAAGCACAAGTTGCATGTAGTTTAAAAACCTTTGAAACATGGAATCAAATAAAATCATTTCTCCGTTCTACTTTTGGGGAGAAAAAACACGCGACACATTTACTATCAGACTTGCAAAACTGTAAACAGTCATCCGAGGACGTCACTAAGTTTTCTTTAAAATTAGAACAAATTTTAACAAAAATTCAATCAGATATACACTATAGTTGCAAAAACGCTGATGAGCTTCCAGGTAGAATAGCCGCCATGGAGGATCTAGCATTAAATACATTCTTGTTAGGGTTAAATCCTGCTATTTCTACTATTGTTAGATGTAGGAACCCTCAAACTCTAAATGAAGCTGTTCAATTAGCGATAGAAGAGGAAAAATTACAAAATCTCCAAACATGTTCAAAAAATTCAATAAAACAGTGTAGTATATGTAATAAAGTAGGCCATGTTGCTACTCAATGTTTTAAAAATAAAAAACATTCTAATTATAATCATAATAAACAAATTTCGCATTTATCTAGTTCTAATTCTGGTAAATTAATGTGTAATTATTGCAAAAACATAGGGCACACTATTGATCAATGTAGAAAGCGACAATATAATATGCAACAACGTCAAAACTTTAATCATAACTCTAATTATATAAATCGTAGCCCAAATAATAATTCTAATTTTATAAGTCGTAACCCTATTTCCAATTCTAGTTCCAACTCTGTGCCTATGCACATGACATATGATAACGACGACGCTGTCGATAACTCTAACTCTTTAAACTGAATAAGATTTCGGATGCGTGTCTGCCGAAATCGTACTATCGTAACGACACGAAAACAATTAATACTACTTTTTCTACTAAATCTTATAAAAATCCTTATGCTAAATCTTATTCTAATTCTTATTCTAACTCATCTCGGCAATGCTTTAGCAAGCAACCGAGTCATTCTAGCTCATTTACATCTCAGTTACCCAAAGAGGAACTGAGTCATTATAAGTCTATTACATCTCAGCAACCCAAAGAGGTGAAGCTGAGTCTTGCTAGTTCTTATGCATCTCAGTTGACCAGAAAGGTACAACCGAGTCCTACTAAATCGTTTACTATATCTACATCTCAGCAACCCAAAGAGGTGAAGCTGAGTCTTGCTAGTTCTTATGCATCTCAGTTGACCAGAAAGGTACAACCGAGTCCTACTAAATCGTTTACTATATCTACATCTCAGCAACCCAAAGAGGTGAAGCTGAGTCTTGCTAGTTCTTATGCATCTCAGTTGACCAAAAAGGTACAACCGAGTCCTACTAAATCGTTTACTATATCTTCATCTCAGCAACCCAAAGAGGTTAAGCCGAGTCTTAATGAATCTTATTCTAATTCTATTCCTATCCTTGAAACGAGCATAAATACATGCAAGGTTTCGTTACCATATACAAATCTATTTACAAAATATTCTCCTAAGTGTCTCAAACTTCTTATCGATACCGGCGCGAGTGTCTGTGTCATCAAACACTCATGTTTAAAAATGAAACATGAACTTCTTAAGGACAAAATAAGAATCAAAGGTATAAATGATACGGATACATATTGCGAAACGCTAGGCTCAATCTACTTACAATTTTTATTAAGTGATGAAACTTACGAGTATAAATTCTACGTTATTAACGATAATATAAATCTTAATTACGACGGTATTATTGGTACAGATTTTCTTAAATATTTTAATGCTAATATAGATTATAGCTCTAAGATAATGACTCTGTGTGGTTACCAAGTTCCCATTATATTTCATCAGCCAACATACATCGTTCCGGCACGCTCAGAAGCCGTCATTGAATGCGCTATATCAAATTACTCGGTCGAGCTTTATCACAATAATGAAGGCTTAGTTCTAGATCATACCTTAAGCGAGGGTATTTACGTCGCGAATTGTATTGTGTCAATAAAACCAAACAAAAAAGTTAACATCACCGTTTTAAACACGACTGACACAGACTTAGAAATTAAAGATTATTTCGTAGAATTGACACCGATCGATTATAATATTTCTATTTCCTGCGAAAATCCTATATCTAGTAAATGCTTGTATTCTATTTCTACTTCTAAATCTAATCGAATAGATCGAGTATTAAGTCTTTTACGCTGCTCCCATCTCAACGATGATGAAAAGAAAGCACTTTTAAATTGCTGTTCCGATTATACGGATATCTTTCACCTCGAAGGTGAACCCCTTTCGTTTACGAATGGCATCCAACATTCCATAGATACGGGCAACGCGGCCCCAGTTCACGTAAAATCATATCGCTTCCCTGAGTGTCATAAGGAAGAAGTCGATACACAAATTCGCAAAATGCTAAATCAAAACATAATTCGTCCCTCTGTTTCGCCTTGGAGCGCCCCTGTATGGGTAGTCCCGAAAAAATTAGACGCTTCTGGCAAAAGAAAGTGGAGAATAGTCATTGACTATCGCCGTCTCAATGATATCACAGTTTCTGAAAGTTATCCCCTGCCTCTTATCACTGATATCCTAGACCAATTAGGCCATTCCAAGTATTTCACAACCCTTGATCTTGCTAGCGGTTTCCACCAAATAAAGATGGATCCTAAAGATGCCCCAAAAACGGGATTTACTATAAGTACTAATTCGAGCATGTCTGGTCACTACGAATTCACTAGAATGCCCTTTGGTTTAAAAAACGCTCCTTCTACCTTCCAGCGCCTGATGAATACTGTCTTATCAGGTTTGCAAGGTCTACACTGTTATGTTTATCTAGATGATTGCATAATTTATAGTCATAATTTAGATGAACATATGGAAAAATTAAAACTAGTATTCAATAAGCTGCGCGAATACAATCTAAAATTGCAACCAGATAAGTGCGAATTTTTAAGACGTGAAGTAACTTATCTTGGTCATATTATCACCGATAAGGGTGTCTCTCCTAATCCAGAAAAAGTAAAAGCAGTGTCACAATTTCCAATTCCTAAGAGCCCTAAAGAAATTAAATCCTTCCTAGGCCTAATAGGCTATTATCGCCGATTTATTGACAATTTTTCTAAAGTGACAAAACCACTTACTTCTTTATTAAAAAGGGATACTACTTTCCACTGGTCTCAAGAACAACAAATTGCTTTCGATGTTTTAAAAGAAAAATTAATCACTGCTCCGCTGCTCCAATATCCAGACTTCTCTCAACCATTCATAGTAACTACAGATGCAAGTAATTATGCCGTAGGTGCAATCTTATCCCAAGGTCCTGTAGGCAAAGATAAACCGATAGCTTATGCATCACGTACTCTAAACCGTCCCGAAGGCAATTATTCAACTACCGAAAAGGAACTTCTAGCCATTCTATTCGCAGTCAAAACGTTTCGTCCTTACCTCTACGGTAATAAATTCAAAATAGTTACCGATCATAGACCATTGGTATGGCTATTCAATGTCAAAGACCCAGGTAGTAGACTCATGCGTTGGCGCTTAAAACTCGAAGAATACGATTACGAAATTGTTTATAAACAAGGCCGTCTTAATTCTAACGCCGATGCGTTATCTCGCTGTCCCGTTAATGTTATAGATATTAATACTTTAAATAATTCTAGTTATGAAAAATATTTTAAAGACCAATTTACAAATAAAACTCCTATTTCAAATACAATAATCGTAGAATGTACTCAAGGATTACACCTATCCAAACTAAAAATTATTGCTTGTCCCGTCTCTTTAGATTTTGACTCATCTATACCTCACTGTGAAGAAATATTAGCACAATTAGACAAGCCTGACGACTTATTAAATTCCGAACGCGAACCATTTACAATTCAATGCGTAAAGGATAAGAATAAATCTTACTATTTTATGTACACTAAAATTCATCATTATGAAGAAACCAAATTTAAAGATATTTACAATTTAATTATAAAACTCAGAGATAAAATTTTAATCGAGAACCCTGATATTACAGATCTCGCCTTATCAGACTTTTCAGATCCATTTTCTAAGCTAGCTTATATTAAAGTATATAATATGATTGCCTATATTTTTCATAACACTAACATTAAAGTTCATATATACAAAAATCAATTAATTTATCCTACTCCCGTCGAAATCCCTAAAATTTTAAAAGAGAATCACGATTCACCTATTGCGGGTCACCCAGGTTCAAGTCGTATGTATAAACGAATTAAAGCCGCCTATTATTGGAAAAGTATGCGCTCTGACATTGTAGATTATGTAAAGAAATGCCAATTATGCCAAATTAATAAACCATTAAGAATGTCCAATAAGGCCCCAATGGAAATAACCTCTACTTCCACTAGACCGTTTGAACGATTAGCTCTTGACATCGTTGGTCCTTTACCTGACGCAGGTTTTCAAAAATTCAAATTCATCCTTACATTACAAGATGATTTAACTAAATTTTCAAGTGCTTATCCCCTGGTCACAGCTACCAGTGAAGAAATAGCCAGAAATCTTGTACATTTTATGTCTCTCTTCGGTTTCCCTAAAACAATCTTAACGGATTTAGGTACTTGTTTTACGTCTGATTTATTTAAAGAATTAACTCAAATCTTAAAAGTCAAGGCTTTATTTACTACTCCTTACCACCCACAGACAAATGGAGCTCTAGAACGCTCACATGCTACTTTAAAAGAATACTTAAAATCTTTCGTTAATGAAAACCAGAACGACTGGCATTGTTATTTATTTACCGCAATATTAGCTTATAATACTACCCCTCATTGCACTACCAATTTCACCCCTCATGAATTATTATATGGTTATAAACCTAATATCCCTAATTCTCTATATGAAACGAACAATAATACCACTTATAATGAATATATTCGAGCTTTACAATATCGAATGCGTTTTAGTAGAGAAAAGGCCATTCAGAATATAATTAATAGCAAAGAAAAATCCAAACAATATTACGATGTAAGTTCACGCGAAATTTCTTATAAAATTGGTGACTTAGTTTATATAAAACACCATCACCGACTCCGTAAGGCCCTATCACCTATATGGAAAGGTCCATATAAAATTATAAAAGTCCATAATAAGCACAACGTTACTTTACAAGTAGGTCGTAAACATGTTAAGTATCATATAAACGAGATTAAGCCTGCTATTAACACTCCTTAAATTTAACTTATTTTATATATTTTTCAGAGCTTTATGCTATGGAAGCCAAAGCCACGCTGAGTCGAGGATCATACCTACATCACATAGTCCTGGAATTTATTTTGAACCTATTACGCATATTAACTTTTATAACGATTATTGGAAGGTTATAACACATATAGACCTTATACCTTTAGCTCCTTATCTCAATAAAATTGATAATTTATTATATGATACCTTAAACCTTTGTTCCAAAATAAATACTGATGAATTTTCCCAATGTAAAGATTTTTCAAACCCTATAGAGATTTTAATAAAATATAATTACGTCAAATTGCAATCCCTAGCACATATAATCGATAATAATCAATCGCCAAATAGAGTTAAAAGATCTCTAGAATTTGGAGGCGAAATTCTTAAATTTTTCTTCGGTACTCTAGACGCAGATGATGCGCGAAAATATGATGCCGCGATAGAATTATGTCGGAAAAGTGAAACAGAACTATTTAATTTATTCAGAGACAATATTCACATAATTAAATCTACCATAAATAATTTTAATGCCACTATTTATAAATTAAACCAAAATGAATTAAGATTAAACTCACAAATTAATAAAATGAATGAAATTCTTTCGCAAATCACAAAAACCGATAATTTACTTAT